CTGCACGGCGGTGGGACGGTATGGGTGGGTTAAGTGGGGGGCTTTCAGGGTCAAGCCGTCCGCTGATAACCGGAACAAAAAGTCGAACTTTTTCTTTATTTTTATTTGGAAGTAGAACTATATCGCGTAAGCAGTTGAGTGGAAAGGCTTCCCCCCCCCCCCCCCCCCCCCCCCCAGTGCCATCTGGATTTTGAAAAAGTTCCTATCGGAGATGAAAATCTACTGCTATATCCTTTTAAAGGGGCGGTGCAATGATTTTAACACTGAAAGAATTTGCAGCTTGTATTTTTTATATTGTTTACTTCAGCATAAGTGAGAGAAAAAGTGCCACCATACCCCAAAATACCTCTATTTCGCTGCGTAATCGCAAAATAAAAAACGCTTTTTTTCCCAACCTGCGGCCACTTGGTGGCCGCAAATGGAACCTCTGGTGTGACGTCATTCGGAGTGGTTTTTGTAAGTGATAGTGTTAGGCAATTGTAGGCTTGATTTAAGGTTAAGTTTAAAAAATCTTGTTGTTTAGGCATGCTGAAACGCTTCAAAAGCCTAATATTGCCGCTAAAAGATTTGTGGCGCCATCTACCGCAAGTCAACAAAACCTGCCGTCGCCGACATCCGTCGACGCCCGAGGCGCTTACGGCGGCTACACGAGCAACCCGGACGTTTTGTCTTTCCCTCGCTCGACGGAGTGCGTTGGTCGTGGTCCGTAGTATCGTGGTATCGCTATTCCTGGTGTCTCAACCTCGACTTCGACTGCCCGCCGCACAAGTCCAACTGACTTACTATACGCAAGCATCTTGCGCTCGACGTCGCTCAGGCCGTGCGCTCATGCCGCCATGTTGGTCGGGAATCGACGGGAGAGCGGCGAGCCTGGCGAGCCGGCGAGCGCTGGGGAAACGGAAGCCAGAAGCACCCAACCGGAAACCAACGCCACTCCGAATGACGTCACAGGCGAAGCTGGTGCCGCTTCAATGTTGAGTTGAGGGGTGCCAGAGATACCAATTTCTTTTATTTTTTTAATGAAAACTAGGGCAAGCAGGAAAGAATAGTTTTCGGTCCTTCGCTTCATATGTGGCCGGGATCAATTCCCGCAATTAATTAGCCAAAGTCCGCAAATTGTTGCACCGCCCCTTTAACTATCAGACGATCAACTCACACCAGCAGCAAGGTGGCCGGAGCACAGAAGCCGTACTCCCAAACGTCTATAGAAGGCAATGCCAGCGCCTTTCCCCCTAAACGTCATTACTAGTGTGTTTACGCAGCGCCGCCTAGACTGCGCCTAACCTGGATTACTCGATCACTTGGGAATGTAATGTAATTGGCCGTTTCTTGGAAAAGTGACCGTTACTTTTGCGATGGCTTCAGATTTTCAAGACGACGTATTTTTCTGCCGCTTTCAAGTCAGGTCTCTTGTGCTGTTCATTATTGGATTAGGAGCACTACCGAATAATAAGCTTCTTATATTCTTAATCTACCAAACTCTCCCGTTGGAGTCTTTGTTCGAAAATTCCATGGTAGGAAACTTGTAGAAAGAAAAGATGCCATTCAAAAGGGGAGGAAATTAGTAACGGCTACGAGCAATATTAATACTTCCAAAAGTAATAAGATTATTCTTTCATTTACTTCTGAATAAACGTATTCAAATAGTTACAAAATTACTCCAATAAGTAACCGATTACGAGTAATTTGATTGCTTGTGTTGAGCAGCGTACAAGTCTGCCCATGGCTCACAATAATTGCTTCTGTTCCTCGTGTCTCGCGCCGTGCAAATGAACGTCTTGCGCTCTTACTTTGGAAAGCTTCATTAGATGAACATTTTTGTGCCCTCCTTTATGGACCGTATACTCGGCGTCAGCTATGTTGCGATACGTCGTCGCGGCTATCGTAGCTTCCACACCGCTGCAGGCCCACACTGCCACGTCAACACGTGGCTTCCCCTTGTTTCTCATTCGTACTCTCGCGCGAAGGAGTTGACACCTCACGTTGGTGCGCTGCAGAAGCTGCGCTTGCCTTGACAACGTGGCACAAAAACAGTTAACGCCGAGGCATCCTTTCGTGGGCACTGCGAAGTATCCTGATATTGATTTGAACTAGCTCCAGCAACGGTAGGCGTCGCATCGATAAACAAGAGTTTTCCCCACCCTTAGAGAAAAACGGCGTTTTGCATTATTTCGTGAAACACGAGCTTCCAGAAACCATCTTTCAGTGTTTTTAGATAAACAAAGTTGGAATCTCGGCTTCGGCGATAGAATTGGAAGTTCGCTTGGACGGCAAAAGTGTCTCTTCGCTTTCATTTATATTTTGATACCATAACCGGTGTTACACTTTTATGTGCTCTAATAGACTTAGGCAAGCAATCTTATTGAGAGTTCCCTTTGATAAAAACGGCAGAAAAATTAGCTCTTTGTTCCATATCTGAGATCAAACGAGCAAGTGGACGTCGAAAACGAGATTCCTGTTGTTTACAAACCTCATTTCACACTGCCAGACACCGCATCAACGAACCGCTGCTAGCAATGAGAGTAAGAGCCTTTCGATAAGTACAGAGTTATTTTTTGTATATAATATTGTAAACAAAAATATGCATTTATTTCTGCTTCTGGTTGTTCACTATTACACCAACTCATTTTGAATTCTGGACGATAGATTACGTTTGCGAAACACAGTTAAATATGATAGTATTTCGGCTTGGACCTGTTAGGTTTGGTTTCGTCAAAAAGATTTAAAGCCGCCTCTTCAAAAAAATAAAACATTACACATTGAAGCCCCTGCACAGGTGTGGTTTACACCCAACCAATACCATTGTTCATTGTGCAAGGCCTATAGATGCACAACCGAAGTGTAATCTCTATTCCGATAGCAGATATGAAAAGAGTAGCTACGTAGACCATTCCACAAACCGCCCTCTGCTAGCAAGCGTCTTGGCTTACTGGGCTGTAGATTACGCTCCGAGCATGCGCAATGGCTCCCCTCGATAAAATGTCAGACGCCTCGCACGCATCCACAGCCGAGTGACATATTTTGACTGGATGATAGGAGGTGTAAAGGCGTATACAAATTGAAAATGCGTCCCTGATTAAAAACAACAACAATAAACTTGATTGATCAATACAAAAGCTGTCAATGGGTTCGTAACGTCCGAGCACGTCCTCATGTTTTTTTGTTTTTTTTTCATTACCGCTGATGCGCGTCGTCAAAATCTGCGTGCTCTGTGCCACATTAAAACATAAACATAAAACTCAAATGTGCTTTGTTTTTGTTGTTGTTGTTGTTGTTGGTTTTTTATTTGCATCAAATACAGAGTACATGATACTGGAGGCTTGTGGAAAAAGCGGTCACAAGACCAGCTTGACAAAGCCACAGGCCCCCACATTGGCATTGGCAGCACTAAAAAGAAAATTATCAACATACCATACAGACTACAGCATTAACAGAAAAAGCGAGATAAACAGAATAAAGAGAAGCAACAATGTTCACACTCAAATTAGCTTATAGATATGTGTTGTCTCGCCGCTTAAGCAGTGGAATCCATCAAATGCGTCGGTCTCACACCTTTCGCCCGAAACGTGCCCGTTTGTTTAGACGGTCGTTTCGACACACCGGTTGCCTGTGTTGTTTACTCCTCGCTACCAATAACATAGTGCACCTATGGTTCTCAAGACGCCACAGGATGGCGCTGTGCATTTCGCTTTTTGGAAAGGTGGAGATAACCGAGGGAGGGATTGCCTGACTCGTGGTCGAGAGAAGAATAAACATTTTCGTATTTTGTAATGCAGAATCGCTTTCTTGCTAAAGCTAGCCCTGATGCTTTGATTTAGCATTGAAAAAAAAAGCGCATGAACTGTGAAGCGCGCCAAAGTCGAAGAGACTTTGCCTATTTGACTGGCTGCACAACGCAATGAAGAAAAAAACACAGAAAAGAAAAGAAAAACGAAAGATGTAGGAGAGAGGACTCCGATACTCCTCGAGAAGACTTCGCCAGCTTCAAAAGCTTCGCAAATAACAATAAAAAAGAAAATGGTGCAAAAGGAGCACCTTACGACGCTGACACAGCGTCGCGTGCCGGGAAGGTTGAGACTGGAGTAAGTGTTCGCTGTGTTCCTAGCAAAAAGCAATTATGACAGTCTGATCGATAGATCGAAATAAAACTGCAAATATTTTTCTGTCGTTTGGTGAGGCAGAAGGTACACGCATTCGGTTGCGAAGATGCGCTTTTGTTACGCGGGTTGTAATTATTGGAAAAAAACATCCTTAGAATCATTAAGAATTGTTTTTTGTCTATTTATTACGTAGAAGTCAACTGTTCAAACTCTCACGAGGTAGTGCGCAATGTGGCCTGATTAGAAGAGTTCGATCGTGCGTATTCATCTAACCATTCATTCGTCAACTATTGAAGTTACCATCACGTGGACTGGTGAATAACCTACAACTGACATAGTTCCAACGTCATGCTCCTGCCGTTGTTTGTTATAGTTATTTTCAATGAATACACCAGTTACATTTTTAAAACTTCAGGGATTTTAGTTCAAACCGAAATGTGTTTAATATTCCAATATCTTTTATACATCATTGCAAGACATTTTCTTCTCTATGAATAATTTACCCTCGAACGAATTATTTATACATTGTTCTTATTTTTTACTATGTCTTCCTAATATTGCCGTCCCCGGGATTTTGTCGATGAAGTTTCAGGACACCATTTGTATATAAGTATGTCATTATCATAAATTTCACCTCACCAGGAATTGAAGTTACCTCTAAACTCTTCCAAATAATATTATTTAATTGAAACAACTAATGAAACATATCTTTGGATTCGATCGTTGAAGAAATGCCGATATATGCGCTTATCAAAAGTAAAGTTACGTGTAATTTAATTATCGAACGCGGTAACAATTACAAACTTGCCCGGCTGACCGCTCGATATTGAAAATGAGAAAAAAGGACTTAGGAAAGGGAACTTTTGGAAGCGATCTTCATGTAATGCAAACTGGTTCCAATTAGGTCGAAGCTCCAATGCTACTCACGGTCAGTCCGACGTTCTTGGCGAGCGTGCTCTCGGTGATGTTGGCGAAGGGCTTGTCGGCGCCCCAGCACTCCATGTGCTTGTACATCTTGGACGTAGACCGGAGACGACCGCCGTTCTCGCGCGATGCCTGCGACGACTCCACAATCGCCTCGGTCGGCTGAAAGAAAAAAAAAAATTAAGGAAGGCAGAGAGCGTCCATCACAGATAGGAAGGTTGATTGTTTTTTGTGAAAAAAAGTGAACTCGACGTTTAGGACCACCCATCACGTACGCCTCAAACTTAGCTAATTGTGCTCTTTAATATGTGGACCAATGCACTAAAAGTGAAATAATGTTGTACTTCTATGAAATAAAACAGTACACTTTAATGCACTATAGTGCTGTAAAAACGTTTATTGTGTGTGTTATAATGTTTATGAGGTGTCAGTTAACAACTACACCTAGTTCCAGATTACAGGACCGCCTATACACTCCATGCGACGCGACCGCCGCGCCGCCAAACAAGACCATGTCGCGCACATTGATACGAAGAGAAGTCGGAGCGGTGCGGTTGCGCTGCGTTGACATCGCGAACTGCTGCGTCGTCAACTGCTCCAATAGTTGTGCGTCATGTCTTGTGGGACTAAGTATCAAAGATTTCCAACTCGCCGTTGTTTGTGGGGTAGCGACTACAATGGACCCGCGACGCGAGAAATTCGGTCTCCAAATCATGTCTGTCACTATATCGGCACAGCTAGCCGACCTAAAAATAGTAATTTATTTTTCACTAATCTCTTTAAACAAAGGAAAGTGATTTTTCAATCCGCCAGAGCAATGAAAACAGCGTAAAAGAGAAGTTCAATATAAAGGTTATTATACCGTAAAGTGCAGTTTACTTCAAAACTTGTTTCTTGATATAAACCACGTCATACTGGAAGAAAGGGAGCTTGATTTGTTTGCATATTGAGAAAGTTCTATTTGCTGTAATATTTCAGCAAAAAAAAAAAAAAAATATCATTCACCCCGAAGTTTATAATACCCCCAAGAAAACAGCGCCTTCCCGCCAATTTTTCGTATTTCTTAAACAGCTTTGTGCATACGGTGCCACTGTAGCCATTGCTTTTGAGGTCGGTTCTAAACAAAGTATTAAAAGTATCTCAACCGCACCAAAAACAAAAAAGTAAACAAAAAAAAACAAAAAAATTCGACGACGTAAAGAGTGTTTTTTGAACTTAAGCGGTTTGCGACTTCTTTAACCATAGTGACTTTTCCTTTTGAAATTAAAGTGCGCAATGTGGTGGAATAATCTCATACAAAAGTGGCAAGCTCTAGTAAGACGAAACATATATATATATATACTGACCGATGCAAGATTAGCCTTAAGGCCCGTTCACACTCTTGCAACCAACCATGGCAAATGACATTAAATGAAAACAAATGTGTGTGTATGACTATTTCACGTAAGAAACTCCCCCTTGACTTCAATTATGAATTATCTGGTCACAAACTAAACAAGGTAACAACTTCAAATATCTAGGCGTCATTTTTTCTTCTGAACTTAAATGGGACCTTGACATTGATTACATCGTAAAGAGAGCCAACAGTAAGTTATGGTTTCTGAAACGAACCTTGCCGGGTGCACCGCCTTCTACAAAATTGCTTGCTTATAAAACTTTAAACCGACCGATACTTGAATATGCCAGCGTCGTTTAGGACCCTTTCACACAAAAGAACGTAAACAAACTAGAGATGATTCAGAGAAAAGCTCTTAGGTTTATCTTTAACAAATTCGGAAGAAAGAACTCACCATCAAAATTAATGCTTCAAGCGGATTTAACATTGCTGTCCTCCAGAAGAAACATAGCCCGGTTAAAAATGCTTTATCTAATCGTGAATGGAACGATAAGAATACCTCAAGATAAATATATCGCTTTTTCCCAAAGGACCAACGCTCGATTCACACACCCGAAAACAATTATTGAATGTCACTCTCGGGTAGATGCGATTAAGTACTCTTTTTTTTCCGCGTACTGTATCCGATTGGAACAAACTACCTCGAGATATAGTCAACTGTGAGTGTGTTTCCTCTTTTCTTGAGCAACTGTTATCAACTGTATAAATATGATTTTCTTTTTGCAATCGGCGCCTCACTGTCAAAGGCGTTCCACTGTTAAAGCTCTTGTGTCATATTTGCTACTGTCTGCAAGATAATCTTTTATGTAATTGTTCATGTACTGCTATCTGTATACTTGCCGACATACTGCTGTCAATTGTAGCTCAGAGTTTCTTTCGCGACATTCTGGTGGCGGGGGCCTACACTTACATTGCAAGCATCTTGTATACATAGTGCTTCATTCTTGTGCCACTCCTATTATATTCCATGTATTGTAATAATAGTATTGATAAATAAATAAATAAATAAAACCGAGAGAGACGAGATCTGTTAAAACTTCTTAAAATTTCTTAGGACAAGGGAACACACTGGCATTCTGGCGCCATCTATGCGGTGACCCTGGATCTGCATTTCACAAGAGCGAAGGTTTTGCGGGATTCCCGAGGTCAAATGTGCGTAATACCTATAAGAAAGGCTCGTTTATAACGTTGTCAAAAGTTTTTCGAGACAAGAAGGAAAGGACAATGCGCGAGAGAAGTAGAAATTATGCCGTATCGCCAAGTTTACACTGCTACCCAATAGATGGCGCCAGTATGTCCTCTCGTTGTAAGAGGTTTCAAGGCTTTTTTGTAGGTCTATATGTGCGTGCGTGCACGCAAACAAGTTTCGTTTTGCTCCCTTTTGCGTTCTTATATACTTGCATGAGATGCACGTAATTGACGAAAGGAATGGAAGATATAAAAAACAAAGTTCACCTTTCCTATTAGCGCAGAAGAGCATCGCATTTTGATCGTGTTCAGCCTGTTATAACTCTTATTTGCCTGAATTTTTTTTTAATTTAAAGCAAAATAAATTTACATAGACAGCATCAAATTACAGACAAAGGACAGTAAAAACGTTTTTATGATGTTAGTTTCGCGAGAAAGGATTTTTGTGAGAAAGGTGTTCTTACAGAAAATCATCACAGTGAAATCCATGTGGCTTAAATCACGATATACATCATCTTGATTTTATACCCCGTCCTGAACTCAATGGATTCAAGGTAGATTAATTTGAGGATATTAATGCCTCGTCGAATTTCTGAAGAAGGGTAGTGTTGCACCATCTAGTGGCCGGGAATGTTTCTCGTTGGATGTCAGCGTGCAGTGTGATTGAAAGATGTTAAAATTTATTTCCTGGGGTATATAAAAAGCGGAGAACAGCTAGATGGTCTTATGGCGAATTCCACTGGTCGTGTTAGAGCGCGCCGGGATCGACTTTTCTGGAGCGCGCCTATTTCAATAGTCGATCTGGATCGAGACGGTCGTGTTTTACTTGTCGTTTTAGATCAGCTCCCACTCCAGATCTCGATTAGCATCCTAAAACGTCGCTCCGTCAATTTCGGCCGATTCGACCGGACACAAGCCTGCACAGCCCTCGGCGCGCACACGAGACTTGCTTTTTATTCGGGCATCTCGCCTCCGCTCGCCTCGAAAGAATTTCGTTATGGCCATTCGTGAAGCGCCGCTCGTTTTACGGCTGCTGCTGCTTGATGACACTTCGTGGTCAAGTGGCTCGAGCAGCTCCTCCAGCAGCAGCGGCTCGAGTAGCAACGACGACGAGGATTGTTTCTATGTCCCGCATGAATTCGACTGCCTCTTCGGACCTCCGCAGAAGAGGCCTAAAATCGAGACGTACGTGGGAACATTTCACAAGTATACCGATGATTAGACAAGTCGGCTACGCTGATGCACATCGCTTAAAGACACACATCTTTCACACCACGATTAACTTCGCTCGCGCGTTGAACTCGTTTTGTTAGCGCATGTGAAAACATGAGCTACGAGATCCGGGACCGCGGTAAGGGTATTCCCGTAAAGGTGAATGAAGGGAAGGCATCTGCCGATCCCGGGGGAGTGACGTTAATCAACTGGGGATCTGGAGGCGGAGTGACTCTGTTCGGCTCGCGTGCTCCATCTCGGATCTGGTTGGCTGATCCCGGCGCGCTCCAAAACGACCTGTGCAATTCGCCGTTATAAACGCCTCCCCTGCCCGTCATGCAACGACACCCTGAACGTGTCGGCTCGAAGAACAAAAGTTCCGTCCGTGCGCGCTTCCGGCGGCACAGTTTTGCACGGGAAAAGACGCCGCGGCTGCTGAAAGCGTTTCACCGTCAAACGCCAGGTGCTCCGCTAGCGGCGCCACGCGCGTTTTTCATAGCGCCATCTATACGCGTTTGTAAGTGCAAGCCTCAGGGCACCGTCATCTTGCTCGCTTTGGGGTGCCCTTGGGAGCGGCCCATAATATGAACATGGCCGCGCCCAAGCGCACCCCAAGCATGCAAAATGGCGGCGCCCTGAGGCCGTACTTGCAACCGTGAATCGTTCCCGCACGTTCCGTGCGGGAACGATTCACGGTTGCAAGTTGCCATTCCGAAATCTACGTGTTCGAACTTTAGCGTGACTCTTGCAGTATACGTAATAACGCTTCGCGACAACGCTTTCCTACGTTAAGCGAGTGACTGACATGGAATGCCGAAGGCTTGTTTCATAAGGTCGTGTCTCAACAGAAAGGACTAGAACGGACGAAAATTTCTTTATTTCCTTCGTCTACCGGAGAGTGAACCGCGTAAAAAAAGCGCGTGCTTGTGTTGCACTGGAAGCTCCTTTCACGCTCTCCGCGTTAGTTCTGCTGAAGCGCGTGGCATCTTTTCGTGGCACTGAGAAGATGCCACGAGATCCCCGTTTCTGCGACAAAAATTTCGAGCCAGCGTCGTTCATCGATGACGGCCATACTTCACGGCTAAAGTGGAATGTCTCGACGAAGCTTCCGCTTCCTTCTAAAGGGCCATAAAGCGCCATAGAGATTTTCGGGTAGATTCGTGAACGTCGTCTTGTGATTTACGGCCACTAACTTCCGGTATATGGTACTAGGAAGTTTTCACAGATCGTTTCTTTCGTCCCGCAACGCTCTCCGTAACCCGCTACGATATCCCGAAATCTTCAGTCAAGGCCAGCGGTCCGCATGCGCACTAGGGGCGTCTTCGTTGCGGGGAGCTTTGCGGAGTAGTAAAAACGATGTACGAAA